TTATACAATATATATTTGAGTTTTTTTGTTAATGCGAAGACAATATTTCTATATTTCTTGATGTGCTCCATTGAACGACTAGCTATTAGATTGTACTCACTAACTGATGTCAGAGAGGACAGCAACCATGTAGTTTCACCATATATCAAAATCTTGTAATGTAAATAATACTTATCCATGCCTGTAAAACTGGTGTGTCCAACATAGATAGGAATAAATATAATATTTATGATGGCGCAAGAGCCAATTTTTTTACTGATAGCTTTGAAGTTCAGGTTTTTTTAAATATTTTCCATACCAGTTGCTTTGCGAATATATGTTTCCAAATTGAGGTGTGATGTAAACCTGTTCATCGATGGTCTCTTATGCTGCGCTGACTCTATAGACGAACTGGTAGCCTCATTTTTCAACTTCATAAACCTTGTACTACCTCCATTATGGATAAAATTTTATTTTGATAAATTATGAAGTGGACTACCTTCATAAATGAACACGGGGGTGATGTACTTCAGTGTGTCACTGGGGTACAGTGATCGTTAGTAGAGGAGTCCCTGTCTACAATCTATTTCGTTATTAGAGTAGGCCTATTTGCTGAGATATTTTTGGACCTTATGTGTTTATCAAAGTTCATTTCCAGACCTCATGCACATTGTGTAATCAGATCCAGAAGTTTGTATTCTGCCGTGACAGAAGTGTAGGTGTTCAGAGGTGTTGTAGAGGAAGTGAACTTTGAAGTTCTAAGGGCAATCATAGAAGTCATTCTTTGGATGAACGTTTTGTCCCGAGCTTACTTTATCATGTGATAATGCATATTTTTCAGTAGTGTCCGCTACTCTAAAAAATGTCTGCATCGCAGGATGAGTCACATTTCAACACAAAAGGAAAAGATTTATTTTTCTTTCGTGGTCAGTGGGAGCTGCGCGAGACACTGTTCATGAATTATGCACTCAGAAAAGTGCTTTTGACCCTATTGATCTGTGCATTATCCCGTATGTTACGACATTTATATTCCTCTCACGCGCCATACGTCGATGTACTTCATTTGCAAAGTAATTTTTCAGGTTTCCAGTTTGTGGTAATGTTTTAGGTGAAATGCCACTACAACCAGTGTGACTAGTCGATATCACTTTTATATCTTTCCTTCTAGCCCATTAATGATGGAAAACATTTCCTTGATTTCAGCCACACAGCTGGGTGTAGAACAAGGAATGAAACAATTTGCTTTGTGATTCATATCGCAAAGTACCTTTCGGGTATCTACGCCACCCAGATCTATATATATTGTTACTATGTTTAATATTCATGATGTTGCTTACTACACAAGCAGCTGAGGAAAGTATAATTTCCAGCCTTAATGAATCCCCTCCAAGTGACCTGTATGTAATTGTAAAATGACTGGATGCAATGCTACCACTCCCTGCGAGGTTATTGATCCTGTTTGTTTTGCTTCTTTTCCTAGGATTTGAAGCACAGAGTGCAGTGAGACGCTTAAGCTGGATCATTGGCATTTTGGATATAGTTTAAATTCTTGAATATGTTAGAATGAGCAAAGTGTCTGTTAGGTAGGTCTTGGAGTGTGCTCGAATTTAACTGCCTCTTACTATGTGCAATTAACAATTTGTATGGATGGAAATATGGAATTAGACTATGAAGATACTTTATATAATTACTGTAAGTGCAAAGATGCGAGAACAGAAATACCCAGGTAGACACTAGCTAAAACGGATAATTCTAACCGGAAAAGTTACATTTTTATTAAAGAACATGAGTAGGTACTTAATACTATCAGTAAGACACCTAATAAAAGGCCACCTATATGTTAAGAAATAACTGGGGAACGTCACGAGGAAAAGTAACAAAACACCTTGACCAGACTGAATATGTTGACAGACTATAACTACGAGCTCCTGACTTAAGGCCGATCCCCTTATGAGAACAATCGGAAGCGGTATACACACCGAAGGACATGTATTCCTGCGCCCATGTATGGATGAGGTGTGATGAAACGCAACCATCCCTCAGCTCACCATTTGAAATCCGCTTCAAATTCATGGCGAGGCACCCGATATACTTTGTCATTTGACGAGGTAACGTCATGGACAACGTTACCAATGAGACACTAAAACTGGTATAGCTAGACAAACATTTTCCCTAAATAGTGACACAAAGGCTAATAAAAATGGTAGCCGACATAGTAGATACTAAAGCTAAAACCATTTAGACTGTCTGAAGACAGGCTGAACCCCTTACTCGTCAAAAATCTTTAGAAAAAGTGCAAAACGGCCAATTAGCGAACTAAATGCAACTAAATATATTAATTCACTCGATTTCATAGAAACACATCTTTCAAAATATTGGCAAATATAGAGAAGTATGTACGTAAAATATGCTTCGTTTTCATTCTTTAGGGAAAAGACACGAAAAATCGACTTTTACTTCCCTCTGAAAATGTGTTAAATTGAGTGACATTTTGGTTAAACGTTAATTTAAGAGAGTGGAAATTGTACTTCTCCATGAATAAACAGACAAAGGACAACACAGAGACCAAGCTGCACAGCTAGATGAGTCAGCCCTTGTCAAAAGCAGGCCAAATGCCGGTATGTACGGATCATATTCATCCTTTTTGTCTCCGTAATCAAGTCTCCTTTAGAGTGTGATTCAAAAATAAGAAGTCTAGAAAAAGCAACACAACACAAATGACGTGAATAAAACTAGTTCCGTGGAATACAAGACTACAGGACACCCATGATAGATCTAACTTTTGGGAATATTGCCTATCAATACACCTTGATAATTTATTATTATACATGCCATTTGTTTATTTCTTCGTTTTCGCGCGGCCAGTGAAGTGCTCTTCTGAGTGTGAGGAAACTGTTTGCCTCCCTAACGGGCATCTTCCTTTACCGTATTGCAAGGGTCCCCAGAATTAGCTGAATAACCTCCTGTTTTCCGGGCAAAGCCAGATAATACACTTCTTCACCGACACTCTGTTGAGTGGTCCGCTTATGAGAGTTCCTCAAACACTTTCTTCCTCAACTTAGCCAAGCTTTGCCTTGCCTCTACTAAGTTCTCATCTCCAGCAATTTAAACTTCTAAGCCAGCATAAGTGGACTAACCATTACTCTGGACAAAGCCCACAAAGTTCAAGGGAATATATGAGATGGTCAAACCCTAGTGATAAACAACTATATCTGCAGCATAGAGAACGAGAGACCGATGAAATATAACGTTGGTATAACATCGAGGCGTAATTAGTGTAAGGCACCAGTTCCCATGGCTAGAATTAAGTAAATCGGAATTCATCGCTAATACTGTCTGACCGAGCATATGTGTCCACTAAGCTCATGAAATGTAATCTGGATAGAGCTTCAAAGTAAAAGCATATCAGAGTCTCATAATGTTGTGGGCTTAGGCTGAAGAGACAGTATCAATAAAGCCCGCTGACTGGTTTTAGATGAACGTACTCTCAAAAAAACTAGTTTGCAGGTATTAACTATTGGGAAGCATCAGAGGATGCACAAGCTACGAAGCGGCTGATGCCTGTCTGTTAAAGCAGTTTCATAAGTAGAGCTTGGAAGTAAATTAAACTGACGAATGGAATTTTTACATTTCTCCGTAAAATACTAGGTGAGCAACCTTATCCTGTGCTGTATATACGCATTATATATTTTGGTATCTTCATGTAATGGGGATTCAATGTGACGATTCGACGGCTGGCATCATAGCCCTAGTGCAGCTGTAGTCTGAACCTGCCAATGGAAAACAAAGGCACTTGATGGAAAACACTAGACGTAGCTCCGGAAGACCGGTTAATCGAAACGACATTCTCCGGGAAGTCGTTTTTGGGGGAAGCTTATGTAGTGCTTCTATAACACAGTGTACTATGGTCACTCAAATGCAGTTAGTGATTAAGGGACTTTGCAGGATAGAAGGGGTGACAAAGTAGGAACTATGTCTTTTGTGTGATTTGTGAGGCTTCCTTTGACTACTGAATGAATGAAAGCCCTTGCATTCTATTTGACTTGGTTTCCAACCTCATTTGCTCTGCGTCGCAGGAACCCACTTGTCATCCGTACTGTCATTACAGATATCAACAGTAATGCTGCTTGCTATACTATAAGGTGGAAAAGTTTAAAATTTTATCTGGTACAGATGGAAAGTAGGGAAATACAGAGTCAAAGTTCTTTCAGGCTTGTTAAACCTGTTGAAGTTGCGTCTACTGTCAAGATTCGTGGTGGATAACAGCAGTAGTAGTCGCAGTAGCCCCTCAGAATGATTTTTCCCCTCTGGTTGCAGAAATGTGATGTGTCTGAGTCAGTCAAATCAGTAGATTCATGGAATGTGTACAGCTGACTGTACTGACCCTAACTCCTGATTTCAGTACTTTGTAAGTTTTGAATTCTGCCAATTCACTTTGTAGCCCAAAGCATCTCCACTCAAGATTAGTGACCATTTACCCCTGAGAACGAGGGGATAATTACAAGCAAAATAGGAGGCGAAATGTAAAATCGTGGGTTTCCTTCCATGTGTAACGATTCCAGAATTATTAACAGCTCGAGATAACACTGTCGGATAACGTTGCTGACACAAGAAGAGGATTGTTCCGGAGCATGTACCAGCCATAAACTTAATGCTAATATTCTCCCTGGAAAATAAAACAAAGACTGTCAGATAGCTTATTTTAAACAATGGAAGTTGTCACCTAATGTCGACCCTTGTGTTTCCAGATAAAACCACAACAAGAAGCGAGTGTAAAGAAATGGTGCGACGAACAGCTGGTACTAAAAAATAAATAAATACAATAAAGTAGTGAAAAATAAAAGAAGTACCTTTAAAATTAAAGATAATTCACGTAAAACAACACCAGCTTGCAGTTATAATTTAGTTTGTATCGGCCGAAGTTCGATTGAATTTCGTACGATTTTGTTAGTCTGTAGTATATATTTACTGAGTTTCTTCCCATATTAAAAGCGGAACGGTTGAGTTTTTTGGTCGAAATCATGAAATTTAAGTTCAAGGAGACCCATACTTTTGGTATGTTAATTACTTCGTATGTAATAGGTTTCAGAACAAAGACAACAAGACTCTACGAAAATAAAGAACAAATATGTTGGTCGTGTACCAGTAAGTGTTTATTTGAAATGTTAACTGTTATCGTAGTAAATTTGGTTTATATCATAATCAGAGTGTACTCAGGTATCTTTAGGTCCATATTTGCCTAAATGCACTTTTTACCTCGAATTCAACTGAGCTGTGTATGACTGGATATCTGAGAGACAAACAGTTAGACTGCAATTACGGCTTCTTGCAAGAAGCAATATCATAATAGTACAACTGTACTTTTATCATGACTCTGGAATCTAAGTGTGTAACCTAGGCAGTTTGAAAAAGTGTTTCAAGTGAGCACATGCTGAGAAGTATCGAAATAAGCTTACGATCTCCTTCAGCCCTCATACAGTTTCGGTGTGTAATTGATATCTGTCGCTAACACCATAATAAATTGATTGCTCACACATCTGACAACTTGACAAAATAAAAGAATATGCAGTACGATCTCATAATAATATCTTTACTGATGATATATCCATTAGCACTGCCTTCTTCCTCATCTGATTACTACGAATAGAGTAGAAAGCTCATTAGGAAGCTTTATTGCCAGAAATCAATAAGACGAATTCACATGGTGTTTCTTTGTCAAGGTTTGAAACTTCTTTTGCGTAGTTTACCAAAAAAAATCAAATCACTCATATGTTGTGGTGTTATTACCCGTGAAAGTCCAAGTAATTGTGCGTCAGCAGGAGTCGTTCAGTTAATGTCCTTTACAAGTTACCGTTATAACTGGTGGTTTTCCTAATTACAGTTTGCTCATATGGTATGTGAGAGAGAGGAGTTTGTACGACTATATTTAAAAACTGAACTGTTAAGTTTTACCTGTCAACATCTTATAGCCGTAAAGAAGGTAAACTAAGACCACAAAACATCGTGTCCCCTTGGAGGATTTTTATATTGCATTGTGACTGACTAGAGTATGTGATGTGAAGTGCTCTAGTTAAAGCTCATAAAACCTGGTTTGATTAACGAGCAAACAGTTGAGCTGCCTATGTGCACTAATAGTAATTAACCTGTGTACTAAATTACTGATGGAATTATGCATTTCTAGTTGTATTGGAATCGGTTTAGCGGCAGTACTCTTGGGACGGTTTAACATTTTTGGTTTTGTTACTACCTACCTAGTCTTTCTGACATACGAGATTTCAACTTAGCAGACATGTAATTCAGCTAGCTATCTTTACTAAAGCGATGCATCAAAAAATAGCAAACGTTAACCAAACTTGGAATAATCATGTTTATGCGAGTATTTCCATACTATGTGTAAGTTGTGGTCCGTAGAGAAATCATTCCTATAGTTCAGGCGTAGACCAATATTTTAGAGTGGTGTTCGCTTCAGGAAAATGCATTAGAATTACGGATCTCACTAATAGGTGGTTAAATGGCGAGTTACTTCTCTCTAACAGCAGTCTATTATTCTTAAATTTAATGAGTTCAGAACTCCACGAGCAGCTGAGTGCTACCACTGCGTAGTTATTAGTAGTTATATAAAGTAGTTTCCAGAACTATTTGGGCGCTGTCGTATTTTTCCCATGCATTACCGCACTCTTGCTCCGTGTTGTATTTCGTCTCGTATCATAAAATATATGTTGACAGCTAACAAATGAAGCCAAGTTGACTTAAGTATTCCCCTTTGGGTCTTGCTAAAGTAGTAGTAATGGTTGTAACCAGCTTTTAGCAAACTGAGAACACTGGTTCTTTGTTGTAGTACTACTTTGCTGGTAATGATGGTGTCAAACATGGTATCTCTCTCGAGTGTCAGGGAATGGTATGGCTCTGCGGTGACTTTTAGTTTAAACATCGTAAAGTCACTGGATGTGTAGAGCTGCATCAACTTTAGCGGATTGTCTGCTAACAAAATTTCCATAGATTTACGGAAATATCACATGGCATCTTCTAACTTGCATCGTCTTTGACGTAGGTGGTATCTGTCTATCCATCAAAAGATGTATGTACTCTGTATCATTTCGCCCTTTGTGCCAGCTATGGTGGTAGGTGGAACATATAAAAAGGTTAGTCGTCTTTGGTCCTAGGTGCATTATTCCAATCTCTTGTTAGATGGAGTAATATGATAATGAGTTCAATTGGGACTCTGAGGTTTCTTCCAATGAAGTGGTTACTCCGTCGCCTTTCTAGATGGGCAATTTAAGTTTTATTAAGATAAAGTTGGAAGAGTTAGGTCGTCAGATGGGAAACTGACACCACTCAGTGAAGTTTTTGATTGCTGGTCTGAAACATATCAGGAGGCGTATGCTGCTTAACTAGAGTCCTTGGGGCGTTAAAAATCAATGGCTGGAAACTCTTGGTGATATGGTGGAAATCCGTTCCCCGTGGTTCAGATGTGTTCACTGCTTATTATCATCTAGATTATGAAAATGACTTATTTTTATGTATGGACAATATACTTTTTTCGATATTGAAACTAGTTGAGATAGTCTTAGGATGACAGACTACTACTGATTTATTGTATGGTAATGGAAAGTTTGGTAAAAATCTGGGCTGTGGCAGGACTCGAAGCAGTGGGTCGTCAGTGCGGCGCTTTACTTGCTGAGTGACGTGAATCGGTCACTAATCAGGTGGTCATTTCATCGCATTCATCAAACTGATTAACTACTGGGCCGCGTAGTTCAGTTAGTTGAGCGTCAGACTGATGGTCCTGTAGCCACTGACTCGAATTCCACCTCAATCCGGACTTTTATCACACCTATCACAACCCATTACATAATTATCATTTCAACAATTCCCCCTTATATGTACGTAAAAGCGGACTACCATTTATGTAGTTAAGTGCGATCTTAAAGTTCTGGGAAAGTGTTTTCACTACGTGTACACAAGATGATCACTATTCACCGATTTTATGACTGATCTGCGCTTTTTTCTGTTTTAGGTTGTTGTTGAGCGTCATCTCAACTCCCAAATAGCAGACATTGACAAACATAAATTTCTTGTTCCAGACGATGTGACAGTTGCTCAGTTTATGTGGATCATTCGCAAACGCATTGACATTTCACCAGAGAAAGCTCTTTTCCTGTTTGTTGGGAAAACGATGCCCCAGGCTAGGTATATGACAATTTAGTTGTTTTTAGTAGAATAAGAAGCTATTTTATGTTTTTATATGTTGCTAGGATGTGATATATTAATTGTGTGTATAGTTTGCGTTTTTTAGGTGGGTGGCAAAAACTGATTTATCCTTTGGATCCGATGTTCATGTTGAATGTATTCAAGTACTTTAGTAATTTAAAACAGTTCAGACCATAAAAGGTCTCTTCCAGTTAAAATATGTCATTCAGTAACATCTCCATATGAATCTACGGTAAAAAATAGCAAAATAATGTAACTTATTACATAAGGTCTGTTTAACTATAGTAGACACACGTGTTACACAAAACTGGAATGCGGTTGTGGTATATATTTAGGGCACTCAAGTATAACTAAAAACACTTTCTCTGTAAAGTGACCAACTAATGAGACATTATAGCATGTGTATCTCTTTTTTCTGCTAACTAAAGTATTCTCTGATAACAAATTTAATTGTTGTTGTCCTGCTAATTGCTATTACTAGATATAACACTGTATTTTTGTCTAATAAGCTGAATCGAAATAATGAATACAAGTAATTCTTAGCTTGATAAAGAAAAATTGACTAGATCGGACGGATGTGATAAGTTTCAAGACAGTAATAGAGAATTTAGTAAGTTGTCCATCTGAAATCACCTTGTGTTACAGTGTTTCCATTGTGTATTCCCTAGGAATTAATTGGGTATATTCTAATGACTGCATAGACAACACTTGCTCTGCGTACCATTGCATTTAATTTTTACTGTTATTCAGTAAGAATATGATTAAAACATATAGCCAAGCATTCATAGCCTCTGCCAGGCAAGTCCTATTCACTGCATTCAGGTGGCGAGGGCATTCCTCACAAAGGTGAAAGAGCAAATGCAAACGTGTTTGGCGCTTACAGCCAAACTGGTGCACATGCTAGTCTTCCTGGAAGACACTGGTCCTTAACCTATAGTGTATATGGGCTCCAGATTCCGAACGGATCGAATGTCGTGTGAACCTATTCTGGTCATCAGAAACCACGGGAATGCAGATCCTGAGGCTGCTCCACTGACTTATGGGCCAAACTTTAAGTCAAAGGCTCCGGGGATGTTTCCTTAAGACCACCACTTCGACGTGCGCATCCGGACAGTATCACTGCCCTCGCACAAACTGATATTTTGTGTGGCACACCTCTGGCCGCCCATAATGTACCAAGTCTGCGTTTTAATAACAGTAATGTTAATCTTAGCTGGAAAGAAAAGATATTATTAAGCTGTAGGAGTTTTTTCTCTAACCTAATTATTTCTTGCCTACACTTTCTTTAACTCTTATAGTGCTACAATAGGACAACTGTACTCTGATTTCAGTGATCCTGATGGCTTTCTGTATGTTAGTTACAGTGGTGAGAATTCTTTTGGGTCCGATCTGAAATTGGACGTTTTCTGAACGTGAAGATTTTACTTGGAAAACACACTTCTCCATCTAAGAGTATGACTTCCAGCTTGCAATTATTGTGAAGTATATTTTAATTTCAACGGTTTTGTTCTTAAATTTTTCTTCTATATAAAACAGTATTGTTATTTGCCAACTATCTTTGGGAGTTTTGTTTAAAAAGCTTTCACTTTATGAAATTTGTTTCTTTATCAGATTCATGCATATTTGTTGTTTTTTTTCTCTCTATTTTGGTCCGACGGCTGTGTATAAGTTATTGTTCGGTGTCTCCTTAGAGACTCCGAATCATTTTAATAACAAGCTTATTCCCATTGCGCTCTCGCACGTGTCTGTGTGTGTGTGTGTACTCATTTACAGCGCGTGTCGTTTATGTTGTGCTCAACAGACCTATATTTTAATCATGCTGTTTCTACAAGTGTTTATCCTTCCTCAACTGGAAATATCTTATTGTGTATATTGTCAATTTATTCTATTTAGTAATATTCAGTTATATTGTTTAAATTTTTCTGCTAATTATATGAACAGGTAATTATTTATTTGAAATTATATGTGTATATATATATACTTACTGATATACTTGTTCTTATCAAAAGAAGGCGTTTCCCCTTTCAGTTATCATTATATTGTTAAGTTACGTTCCACATGCAATTGAGGAACAGCAATGTAAAGTGTATGATGTACTTGCATCTGATTTAATAATTTCTGTCCTTGACGAAATCCACCAGGAACCTTACTATCTGAATAACAGTAGTTATAGGTGTTGATTACTTTGCTTCTTTGCACAATTATCTCATCCCCGCGGATTTTTTGTGAAGAGTACAGGATCAGGAGCTAAGTACTGCATCTCAGATTCCAGTTGTCGAACCGAAATACAATCATGCCTAATCTTCATCTCAACGGTCATCCCACATTTCGTTGTTCTCCTTGTCGTTATGCTTTTCTGCTCTCTTTCTTTTCTGTCGTATTTGTTTTTTGATACACACTGGTGAGTCGTGAACTGGAGGAGCCCGATGCTCAGCAGTGTCGAGTCGTGGGTGTACGTACCTTCTCATTAGTCACTGTATACACATAAAGGGGTCGTTTTTGAATAAGGCTTTGTTCAAATTCACTAAATAGAAGTTTTATATTAAATTATAGTTTTTTCTCAGTGTAGAAAGAATAACCGGTTCATCACCCACTAAAAAAATATTTCTTCCGTCTCAACGAAAGATTTTTAGAGGAGATATTTAACCACGTTTGTCTCAGTTATAAGATTTGCTAGTTACTATTAATGTAATTACAAAAGACAAATATATGTATAAGTAAAGTAGCCTGTCACTGATGAGAATGGAACATCCTGTTGCTGGAAATATACCATACCGTAATATACAAATGTCAGGCGAAATAGTGTTTCACTTATTATTATTATTTTTTTCTATAGAACTTATGCAAGTCAGCTAAATTTGTACTTTTTAGGCAAAAGTTCATTTTCACGTGAAATGGTCACTTGTTTCTGTTAGTTTCACACCATTTATATCTTACTAAATTTTAAAATCAAATAGGCACACATGACTTGAATTGTTAACTGATGCATATTGTTTAAGATTGGGTGCATATGATGAAATTCCTGATAAAACACCCGTTATTTTCGCTGTAGTTAAGGCTGATTACTTTCTTGAATCATTTTATATTTTAACAGGTAATAGTCCTTCTGCGTAGAAGAGTCAATATGGTTTGTGTTTAAATACTGTCGTAACTGTGTAGACCTTGCGTTCATTCACTGAATTACTCGGTTTTCAAATATTCAAGTTGTAATTATGACCTCCGCTCATCTCTTGTCAGTGCTTAGATATACCCGTTAGTGGTCAAGTAGCCCATGTTCTTCATAACGCCCACACGTAGTTTAAAAAGGTGGATATCTCATACACTTTAGTTTCAATTATAATGTCTCTCAATTTTAGGCCGATTGGGTACAATCTTCTTTTATTCGATTCTTTGCCTTACCTCTGCTGACTAGTCCAGCACTACTCCACTTCTTAGTGCTTATATTTTTCACATGGTTCACATTCTATAGATTGTGTAGATCTATGGTTAAGTGATTTAAATACTTAACACTCTCTAATTGCATTATAGTGTACTTTGGAGGGCCATAGACAGAGTAATAATAGGCTAGCATAAAACTTAATACTTCATGTAGGCTAGTTACGGACTTGTGCAGCTGTATTTTAAAGCAAATATATGTATTTAGAATTTAATTGGTGGATAGTGACTAACAATGGGATCCAGGATGCGCGTTTCGTCCTGTTTGGATGTACCAGCATTCCCCAGTGAATGATGATGTTCCCACCGAGGCTCGAACCCGGTGTCCATCCTGGATTCCACTACTAGTCACCATCCACCAATGAAATTCCAATTACACGCCCAGACATCGTCGAAGCATCTGCACAAGAAGCCGATATGTCAACCTGATACCGAGCACTTCGGTCCAATCAATCGACGGGAAAATCTAAAAAATTCAATTAAATAATAAATATGTATACCCTTAATTTCGTTGCTTTTCTCCGCTGAAAAATTTTCGATGTTCTTGTAAAGTGGACAGAAATATCTTTTTTTATTCAATCAGCCTTGAAAGTAAAGAGTGAACACAATATATTCAAAAACATTGGTGTTTCGGTGGTTGGACACTCGTCAACCACTCATTTGGTCCGGGATTCGATTCCTGGTTGATGCATTCACAAGCCTTTCTTAGACCCTAAAGAGGTACGGTCGGGCTTAAGGCTAGGAACAACTGCTACTGGAACTTCGAAGCTCAAGCTTGATGCCCTGTTTTCGACTCGGAACAGAAAAGGGATAAAATTGTTTTTTAAATATTGAGAGCGAAATGATCAAGGTAAAATGTCTTCACAAAGTAAGTATTTATTCTGAAGCAACCCTGGTTATGATTATTATTAGCACTTAATAGACACTGCTGTTGTGTGCAATTACAAAAGGGTTTTTTTAACACAGCACATCTTGATACAAGAATAATAATTACTGAAAAGTCTGTAAGTGTTAGTTTGTAGAGGTTTGATCATGGATTGATATCAGCTAGAGACAGCCAATGAGAACCATCAGGGACTACTGGACAGTTGTTTCGTCCCTGTCCAAGACTTTCCATTAGTAGAAATCCAGGACCTTCAAGTTATAAGGCGAATTTGTGGACCTCACTGATCACGACTTCTCACTAGAACTCAAGGCAACTTCGTCGTTTTGATCAGTCACTAGTGGACATCACACTGGTCTTGGGCTCTATCCCCCAGCGGTGTTATGGGTGCTTACCGATGAAGAGTCACAAATGAGGGTGAAACAGCTGCCTAATACTTCCCGATGACTTTTGGTGGTTCTCTAACTGATATCACTCTGTGATCAATTTCGAATTATTAATAATGTCCCAAGTATACTGTTATGTAATTGTAAACAGTAAAATATGCTCGAAAGATTATTAACAAATGCTACTGTCTCATCGTACAGAGTGTTGACTAGGGTTAATGCATTTGACTGAATTATCATCACTTTTACAGTAATTGGAAAACAACAAGGTCAGACAACTATCTACCTCGCTTTTCCCTTCAGTGTCCCTTTCAAGATTGGACTTGTTGCATAAATGGAGCTGTGGATCGTTGATATAGGCACCTGACTTCCAGCCACTGGCTCGAATCCTACCGAGGTTTGGGTCCCCAGTTAGTATTACTAACCTTCACACAATAGGTGTGGCTGAATGCCAACTGCATATGGTTGTTGAGTAAAATAACGACATTAGTATTTAAAAGCTTATATATCTGAATTATGGGGAGTGGGAGTGGCTTCTCACCTTACTGGTGACTGTTAACTTATCGTAGACAACATTGCTGATCGCAGAAACCCTACCTCGCTCTTCGAACGTCAGACTAATCACTATCATGAGTTTAGGGAAAAATTCATTTCTACTGATCAGCAAAAGAAAGCTCCTTCAACGTAACAGTTTCGCCATTTATACAATTCTTTAGTAAACTGATTGGCAGAAAGTCTATATTTGTTGGGAGTTATTATCAGCCGTTTGTAATAATAGCAAGATAACAGAATATTATTTTAATCGGATAACTAATGTCATTCGTCTCGTCCTTTGTTTGGTGCAGGCTGAATTCTATCAGTCAAGTGTGGCCACCATGCAATGTGGCTTGCCATCATGGTGACCCGGATTCGAGTTTGAGGGGGGATATGAGTTCCTCTGCGATTGCTGACTTGGCTAAGAGAGCCAAATCATTCCAAATGACGAATTCAATCCTAAGTATTACTAGTTCACTCCAATAGTTAGGCAAAATTCACGTTGTTTGAAATGACTTGGCTCTCTCTGAAGTGAGCCATTTCGGGCTGCAAACTAACGGAATAGCCGTCGAGTGTTTAGAACACTTCGATCTGGCCAGTACTCTTTGACGTGAATGGTTTTCAACAGATTGTGATGAATCTCCATCTCGGATTGTTTAGTACACAACGACTCACACTTGTTAACTTGATTACTGTGTACTTAAAGCATTGTATTCAATCTAATTAGCTATTGGTTAAACTAGGCGATGAGTAATTTTCTAGTTTTAGAATTTCAGGGATTTGACTGATTTCATCACAAATCAGATCAATTAGAAAAGCACTATAAATCAAGTGGCACTGGACAACTGTTTTACCATAATCTTGGACTACTCAGTCGTTTTCCCTACTGATATCTTTCAGAGATCTAATTCAGGACTTTCAGAATACCTTGATAGGCCAGTTAGAATACACGATAACAGTAGACAACGACTATCTCTGTATTACAGACTGAAATTTAATCGATTTATTTATACAATACTGTATCACTTACCTAATATGAAATTTTACAACTGCTGAGCCGTTATACAAGTTGATGTATCATTGCTAAATGCGGCAAAACAGTACTCAACAACTTGAAGTCAATTGGATGATGGTGACTAACAATGGAATCCAGGAGGTTCATTTCGTCCTAT